GAAGGAAGAACAGAGTGAAGGGGCAGCTCCTTGGCCAGGAGCTGCCATGAGGGCAACAAGCCCTCATATTATCCTGTGTCCCACATATGGAGCCCATAATGTGTACATTCATCCCAAGCACAGTTTTTCCTTTCAGTGTATTCAGGCACTTGGGAAGCCATCTGTGAGATACCCATGTTCATCTTTCACATTTTGTAAATAAGAAAATTGAAGTCCAGAGAAGGCAGGAACTTTTTCAAGCACACGGATAGGGGACTGAGCTGGGATGGGAGTAAAGGTTTCCTGATTCCAAGTCCAGAATTCTGCCTCCATCCATGCTGTAAACTCTTCAACACCCTCTCCACTGATTCTGGGGTTCAGACTCTAGCTTCAAGCATCAGGAGCATATACCAGTATAGTACATCTTATGTTCTCTCATCCATGGCTAACCAGACCTTGGATCTACCTGAGTCAGGATATGGCCTTTCCCTAAGTCATCTTTGTGGGCATATGTCAGGAGAAAAGGAACGGTTGCTTTGGAGAAGATCAAAGACCTCAACTTCCACCCACTGCCTCCCAACTCCTGACCTTTGTCAGGAGAGTGATTACAGTCTGATAATTCCTTGTTCTCGAAGGAGTAAATGAGATAGCCAGAGAAGATCTAAGCCCACACACCTCTGCTTCTGTCCATGTTATTTAGGGAAATTGACACATTATTGGATAGATTTTTCTAGAAAAAAAATAATCATTAGGATCTAGCTGGGATGGTCATCTATCATATCCAGGGCCAAGGTGCGTTTTAAAGAGTCCTTAGTATATGTAAAAATTTCCACTGTTTGGAGCTCCATTATGTAGGGATAGAATACTGGTCTGAAGGCAAGGAATTTGGGCTTTACTCCTAATTCAGCCAGTGGGCCAGTGGGGAGAACTTGGGCTCCCTCACTTGCTCTGAGCCTTGTTTCCCTAACTAATCAAATGGAAATTTTGAACTGGAATAATTAACTCTGAAGTTCCTTTTATACTTACAAGGAGCTTAGTTGATTTTTTCCCAGAGATAATGGAAAGGATTCCAGTAATGGCAAACTGCTCAGAAAAGAGAGAAATAATCAGTTCAGTTGTTTTGTGGAAATGTATCAATCAATCAATAAGTAATGTAAAACTTTCAGGGAGATGACACTGTAGGCATGGTGTAGGTTCATATTGATAGAGAGGTCTGATTTCTGCCCTTGGGATGTTTACCATTGATTGAAGAATCAGCAGATGTGCAGGAACTGGAGTCATGTTAGTGAAAATCAATATGAGTTAAGGAAGCCTGGAGCCATATTACTGAAAATCAATATGAGCTAAGGAAGCCTGGAGGTATGCATGGAGGGAGGAGAGTTATAAATTACAAGGTTGACTACTAACCCAGACTGAAATCACCATACAGCAAAGGTCTAGGGATATCTAGTTGTTGCAACAGGCCAGACTTGTCTAGAAGCTGTATCTGCAAAGCACTTGATATGAGATGGAAGCATCAGGAAATTCCCCACTTAGAATCAACTGTTTTTAATAGGTTGTGGGGGTTCTTAATTATTTATATTTATTGTGAGAACCCCATTTTTTAATCACAGAATCTGATTGTAAATACAGTTTATGTGTATGGATTTTCTTCCTTGGCTTTAATTGTAAATACAATTTTGTTTTATGTGGGTGTTGTTGTTTTTCACTAACAATCATCTTGTTAGCCTTTTCTCACAAAATCATTATTTCTTTAAAGCCTTATTTGTATTGGCTGCAAGGTATTTAATCATATGGCTGATGTATAATTTATTCAGCGTATCTGTTATTGTTGGACATTTCACTGTTTGCAATGTTTCACTTTCTAAAATAATTCCATAATAAATCTCATTGTACATTAAAAAAAATTATATGGTTGAAAGAAAGGAGATTGAGAATGATCAATAACTTGAAGGGAGAGAAAGATGGGAGCAGCCAACAGAAGCACTTGGTGGTTCAAGATGCAGAAGCACATGGGCTTCAAGCCATTGGTGTAGGTGGCCTGAGTTAGACTGGGAGCCAAGGAAAATGGAAAGTACAGGGTCAGATGTGAAGAGTCTTTCATCATGAAGCCCCAGAAGTCAATATGGTGTTAAGGATCCAGTTGGTGGGAAAAGGGTATTCTGAGAAGCTAAAATGTTGGTTAAGCTGTGGCTTAGAGATCTGGTCGTCACAAAGAGGATCCAGAATGAATTGATTCTAATGTGGAAGCTATAACTACTGGTTAAACAGAAAGGTCAAGGGCAAATTATGCTTTTGGTGCAGGAGCAGGGCCTTCTTACATCACCGTACAATTTGTGTCCACACAAGACTGTATCCATACAGGAGTGATGCCTTGATAAAATTCATTTGCCCAGAATGTGTACTTTTTTCCTCCTCTGTACAGGATACCACATAGAAAAGAAGCGTGTGTAGGAGGTATGACTAGTGTCCAAAAGAAGGTCCTTTCTTCATGAGTCCTAAGATGGGAGGCAGCAACCAAGGTTTCCAAGTGTTCAGGATTGCCATTGAACTTATAGCAAGAGTACCCTGTCTTGCATAAATTTTACCATTGCTGGTTTAATTCTCTGCAAACCTGTGGCATCTCCACTTGTGGTCATTTTATTATAAAAATGACTTTTTCACTCTATATGACAGGTAGACTATTCTTAAACTGGAGGGAATCCAATGGCTTCATTGAAGGCCCAAAGAAGAATGCAAAAAAATGTTCCACTTTTCCAGAGGCATACTGTAAAGCCAGGTTAGAAATGCTGGTATGTCCACTGCATTATCTCCTTGTCTTCTGTCCCATCCATTCACTCCCTGAGATTCTCACATAAGACCACTGATTAAGCCTCTCTCTGTTCTTCCTGAATTGCAGAGACATGATGTGAGATGATAACAGAAGGAAAATTGAAGGTCTTAGCCTTTTTCTCCTCTCTCTCCACTTCTAAGAACTGAGTTATTCCATTACTTAGCATGCTGTTAGCATTTATAAAGCATATTCCCGCTTGGATACCCCATTCTACTCACGCACAGAGCTCCTACAAATGGGTACCCGGACATCAACATGGTGGAAACTGCTGGCTTGAGGTGAGAAGAGTAGGGAGAAAAAAACAAAATAGCTCCAAAACTTGAAATCATCAGGCAACACAGGATATGGATACTCTATAAGAGACAAGAGGAAAAATACTAGAATACACTTTAAATAGATAAAAGTGGCATTTGAATGTACATTGTGAATTATAAAGAATACTAGAGGCCCAGTGCACAAATTCCTGCACAGTTGGGGTCCCTCTGGGTGGCCTGTAGGTATCGGGCCAAAACCCACAGTCCAAAGCCGCCTACAGCTCCTACCTGCCACTCTCACTCATCCTGGCCCCGCTATGCTTGCAGTGGGCTCGTGCCCAATCAGTCCCCATAAGGAGAGGCTCATGCTGCCACAGCAGTGCTCATCAGCCATGAGCCCTGCATCTGGCGCCCTCCCAAGGGGAGTGGCCTGTGGGATCAGGCTGAAACCAGCTCTCCAACATCCCCCAAAGGGGTCCCTGATTGCAAGAGGGTACAGGCCAGGCTGAGGACCCCACAAGAGGGCTCCAGGGCATGTCCAGCCCATCTCACTCAGTCCCAATCAGCCAGTCCCCACCAGCAAGATAACCTACCAGTTGGAACATC